ACCGCTTGGCAAGCCATGCTGTGGTAGGCATCCCACATATACAGTAGAGGGAGATGGGCACGAATGTTAGCTCAGGGCCAGTCTTCCTCAGGAAAAAGAGGAGGATTGGCAGCAGTTAGCTCAGGGCTAATATTCTTCAAAAAAAAAAAAAAACCACACACACAAGATACTACTTCATAACCAACAGAACCACATCCATTAACAAATGCTGGTTAGGATGCAGAGAAACTGGAACCCTCATACATACATTGCTGATGGAATGTAAAATGGTGCAGCCACATTGGAAAGTAGTTTGACAGTTTCCTAAAAAGTTAAATATAAATTTATCATATAATCCAGCAACTCCACTCCTAGGTATTTCACCCAAGAGAAATGAAAATATATGTCCACACAAAGCCGTGTCACAATTGTTCATAGCAGCATTATTCATAATGGCCAAAAACTGGAAACAATCCAAATATCCATCAACTGATGAATGAATAAACAAAATGAAGCGTTTCATAATGGAATATTATTCAGTAAAAAAAAGGAACCACTGATAACATGCTACAACATGAACTTCAAAAACATTATGCTAAGTGAAAGAAGCCAGACACAAAGACCACATATTGTATGATTGCATTTCTATGAAATGTATAGAAAAATCAAATCTATAGATACAGAAAGTAGACTGGTGGTTGCCTGCGGCTGAGGGTAGAAAAGGGAATTGACTGCAAATGGGATAAGGGATCTTGTGGGGATGATGTTAAAAAAAAAAAAGGATGGTGGCTGCACAACTCCATAAATGTACTAAAAATCACTGAATTATACACTTAAAGTGGATTAATTTTATGATATGTTAATACTAAATAAAGCTCTTTGTAAAAATATGTGTGAAGATACTTTTAATTACAGAAAGGAAAATGGCAACTTTACAGTGGAGAAACCTGACAGACACCACCTTAACCAAGTGGTCACAGCTAATATCACTAGAAATGAGACAAATCAACATCATGCGATGTGACATACTGAGACATGTACATCCTGACATGATGTACCGAGAAGCACACACTGTCGCTTCCAGGGTATTCCTCCAAAAAATGCAGACCCAATTGAATCATAAGCAAACATCAGAGAAACCCAAATTGAGAGTTATTCCACAAAATAACTGGCCTGTATTTAAAAACGTCAATGTCATGAAAGTCAAAGAAAGACTGAGGAACTAGTCCAGATTAAAGGAAACCAAAGGGACCTAACAACTGAATGCAATATATAACCCAAATTTTAAAAAATCGTATTTTTTTGTTTTGTTTTGGTTTGCTATAAAGGAAATTGAGACAATAGGTGAAATATGGATAAGGTATGTATTAAATCAATTACTGTAACAATGTTAATTTCCTGATTTTGATCACTGTACTGTAATGAACAGAATGTCCTCATTTTTCCATTCTGTCCATGATTTACTCTCAAATAGTTCAAGGAAAAAAAATGAACACACACTCCTACACAAACACAGAAAATGCAAATGTGGTAAAATGCTACCACTTGCTGGGTGAAGGATATACAGGAATTCTTTGTCTTGTTCTTGCAAATTTTCTGTAAATCTGAAATTATGTCAAATAAGCTAAAAGCAGTGCATGTATGCTATACAGTGTTTATTAACAGATATATCCATTTAGTAAAAATTAGATAGAAACACAAAGAAACAGGTATGACAAGATGATGAGAATATGGGGGAAATGATTTCTTGAAAATGAAGATTTTTTTAAAATGAAGATACGAATCAGTTCCCATACTGGAAATAAATATGCGGGGGGGGGGGGGGGTGGAGAATGCTAATAAATAAATACAAATTAAAGCAACCTTAAAACACCATTTTATGTTCAGTAGCAAAAATTAAACAAAATATTCTCTGATGACATTTGTATACACAGCTGGCCCTCTGTATCTGTGGGTTCTGCATCTGCCGATTCAACCAACCGCAGATAGAAAGGCCTACGATGGGTGCATCTGTACTGAACATGTACAGACCTTTTTTCTTGTCATTTATTTCCTAAACAATACAGTATAAGAACTATTTACATAGTATTTACATTGTATTAGGTATTATAAATACCTAATTTATATACTTGATAAAGTATACAGGAGAATGTGTGCAGGTTATATGCAAATCCTACAGCCATTTTATATAAGGGACTTGAGCATCCTCGGATTTTGGTACCTGCAGGAGGTCCTGGAACCAATCCCCCACAGATACTGGATACCAAGGGACAACTGCACACTTACTTATTGCTCTTGTCAACGTAAAGCAGCACAAACCATTTAAAAATAAATACAAGGAAAAACCTACATGTGCTCATACTCTTTGACAGAGTACTTTCATTTCTAGGTACTTAAACAGTCTTTGATAACAGCCATAAACAGGTATTCATGAAGGTATATTCTTCGCAACATAATCTATGCTAGTAAAAGGAAGAACAACAAATGTCAAAATTTAGGAGAATGTTTTAATAAGCTGTGGTTCATCAACACAGCAGAATATTGTCTTCAATATTAACATTATGAAAACTCCAGAAAAAGAAAAAACTATATACATTGATTAAAATTATGTAAAAACTTTTTTTTAAAGATTTTATTTTTTTTCTTTTTCTCCCCAAAGCCCCCCAGGACATAGTTGTATACTCTTCGTTGTGGGTCCTTCTAGTTGTGGTATGTGGGACACCGCCTCAGCGTGGTTTGATGAGCAGTACCATGTCCGCGACCAGGATTCGAACCAACGAAACACTGGGCTGCCTGCAGCAGAGCGCGTGAACTTAACCACTCAGCCCTGGGGCCAGCCCCAAAATTATGCAAAAACTTTTAAAGGATTATAAAGTAATATGCAAATGTAAAAAGCATGTATGAGTACCGGAATAATTTTTCAATAAAAGAAAAATCCTTTAATGTAATCTTGTCTGAACAATAAAAACCAATGTATAATAATAATAATTAATAAAAGAGAAGGCAGGAGAAAATTTTTGGTGGTGACAGATTTGTTTATGGCATAGATTGTGCTGATGGTTTCACGGATGTATACTTACCTCCAAACTCATCAAGTTGTATACGTTAAATATGTAAAGGTTGGAAACTTTGCTCTAGAAGGACCAAAAAATACTCAGTGAGTCATGACAACCTTTTGCTTTGAAAAGGAGCATTCTAGGTACCAACTGTGTTCAAAGACTGCCCCGGCTACCACCTTCACCCGGCCGCGGGCAGAGTCAGCTCTGGGGAGGAATCTCCCCCTGGGAATCTGGAACCAGAGGAGGGATTTGAAACAGGTGAGTTAAACTCCTGGGGAGAATCTCAGCTGACGAACTGGCTGCGGCAACTCCCTAAGCAGGCTGGTTTCCATGGCAGAGCTGCATCATTTACCCTTCCCAGCACTCAGCTTTTGTTTGCAGGCAAATCGTTTCAACAATCAGAGGACTCAGTTGCCAAGAAACAGTCTCTGTCCCCTGCTCATTAGTCTGACAGCAAATAAATCTGTCAACACGAATGCACCTGTACCCCAGCCAAGGCTCAAGGCCGACTGACCCTGGGGATAATTTCCCATGTGGCTTCTCTCCTCTCAAAGCCTCACTCATTTTGTCAGAATCATTCCCACACTAAATTTAATTTGTTCTTATTCCCCTTCCCCTATTTGCTTTCTGAAGACATTCCGGGGTTTGAACGGGAGAGCCTGGAGAGCCACAGCCAGAAGGAGAAAGTCTGTGCACTAGGGTCACTTTTGGGATCATGAAACTTTGAAGTTGTGAGGGAAGGACTTTCTGCCCCCCTAAAGTTTCTAAACTGCTCTTGCAAGTGTGGTCTGGGACAGGCAGCACCACCATCATCTGGGAGTTTGTTAGAAAAGCAAATTCCTGGGCTCCAACCCAGACCTACTGACTCGACTGGGAGTAGGGCCCAGCAATCTGTTTGAACAAGCTCTCCAGCGATTCTGATGCTTGCTAAAGTGCAACAGGCACGGGGCTGCATCCTGTTACTAGACGACTACGCAGGAAAGTAACTTCGCTATGTTATCAAACTACCCCCTGAAACCTGAATATTGTGAAGTATTTCTTCCAAACGGTGTCGATTCTTTTTGTATGGGTGACAAGGGACATACAGGAGAGCTGATAAAAAGAACTCAATCTCCTGCCGACAGACCAGGGAGCAGTGAGAGCGAGGTTAACCCTACAGCAGCCTCAGGGGCCCGTCCAGGTCAAACTGCCTTGGGAAGTCTGCTCTGACCCCTGGCTACTTCAAGGATCTCCTAGGGCACAGGTTTTCATAAAGGGCCATATTTTTCTGTAAATAGAAGCCATACAGTTTCTGTCGCAATACTCAACTCTGCCATTATGGCTCAAAGGCAGCCACAGACACTACGTGAACCAGCAGGTGTGACTGTGTTCCAATCAAACTATCAAACGGAGGCAGCAGGCTGGATTTGTCCCAAGGGCCCCAAGTTTGCTGACCTCTAGCCTAAGGAGTCAGGAGCGTGGGGTCTAATCTGATGTAGGAACCTTGGGGTCACTCTAGACATGCCCCTGAAAAGACCCCCAAACCAACAATCTGTGGTCCTTTCTAGGCCAGGAACCTCCATACAGAGTCCGGGCCTGTGACTGGCTTCCACAGGGAGAGGCCAGGCGTAGCGAAGCACGCTTCCCACATTCTCTCCCCTCAGTGAAGCCTGCACCAGGGGATGGCGACTATAGACAGAGAGCATCCTGAGCCAGAGGCCTGGGCTGAATCCATCAGGCAAAGGAATCGGGTTGAGTTCAGCAGCAGAATACCTGTCACATTTACTTTTTCCTCAAAGATATCAGCCAGTGCTCACTTTAAAGCTATTGAGAGTTATAAGACTTACGTGTTAAGATTTTTATCGATAGTCAAAACTTTCAAGTTTCAACCAAAAAAAAAGGAATATATTCTGATTCAAAAAGTATTTCTTCATTATACCTTAAAAAAAAAAAAAGATAAACATTTAAAACAGACCCATATAGTTAGTGCAAGGGACATAACAAGACATTTTATATTGAATCTAACATGTTGCATTTTTTACAAATACACTTCTTACCTAACAAAAATGGAAGTATATCCTTATCAAAGGAAGAGACTCTTACTATTCTAACGTCCCGGTGCTAATTTTGTTGTACGTGATGTTCTCTTTGCCACAGTTCACCTATTTATTATCATTAATAATCCACATCTTTGATTTTACCAAAACAGCAAAGAATTAAAACTCACACACACATTTATGTGCCTTTAAAAATCCTATAATATGATGAACTTAACATTCAAAACATTTTATGAAAGAAAAAAAATGAAGTCTTATTTCAGTCAGTGCATCCACAGTTCTCGGCCTCTCACTGGGAAGCTGCAAGATGTCCTTGAATAAGATCCTGAACACGAGACAGAATGATCTCATTAGAACTGCTGCAATTTTCTGGACCATAGGGTGGGTCTATAGTCAGGACCCCAGCCACACACAGAGTTCTTTGTGAATCTCCCTGTTCAGTGATGGGGATGTGGTTCTTCTCGAGCCATTTCTTTAGGCTGTTCTTTCTCTTTTCCAGATCCTCAGGGCTGTACGCCTCACAGTCCCCAGACGTGAACAAGTGCATCAGCTTCTCTCTCACTCTGTGGTCTCCTTCATTCATAGTTTCAACAGCCTGCACAGCATGTCCCATAATTCCGGTCACAGACATGCTGCCATCTTCAAGGAAGTTCACGAGGACAATACTTTGGAGGAAAAGTAAGTTCAGAGCAGATTTGCAAAAGAAAAACCTAAAGGCCCATAAAACTATGGAAGAAGCAATGGCATGAGAGGCATCATCAATCAAAGCAGGTCACCAGAATAATAGGGAACATTCTGCCCCATTTAAATTTAATCCTCTCACCACCAAATGTTTTACCTGTTCAATAAGCATTCACTGAGGGTACTAACATCTAACCTTTTTGTCCAGCCTAAAGCTAATCATTGTGAGATGCAGTTAAAACATTTCTTTAAAGAGTTATGAATGCCCTAACTGTGTATTAGAAAAGAAGACAGGGTACAGATTTAACTTTTAGAGTTAAAAAACAATAACTGAGGAGGAGTGATGTAGGCATCATGGTGGAGTGAGTTCTCCTGACGATCTCTCCCCTCCACCATGTAAAAAGACTTTCATACTTCAACAGAGGACATCCACACAACACAAAAGATGTCTGAGAGACCCACGCAGCCACACATCAGAGGGCAGAGAGGCTGGAGCCCCCTATGGAGGAGATGGAATGGGGTAAGAGAAAACTTTGTTGCCTCCCCAAAAGACTGCGATCCAGGACTGCACACAGCCTCCAAGAGGGTATGAACTGGGGAGGGGATGCTCTTTCATGGGAACATCAAAGATCCCCAAGGTCCCCTGCAGCCTAGGGGAAAGCCCCTACAGAGGTGAAAGCTAATGCAGGGATGACCTCATCAAGCCAACACCCCAGGAGAGCAGATAGTGTGGGCAGAGCGAGAAAACCCCATGAGCTCACAGGAGAAAGCACCCCTCCCCCCTACCCACCCAGCACTGGGGATCCTGGTGGACCGCAGAGCACTCAGAATACACAGCTCTTGACCCCCACACAGTGGTGATAGGTGGTAACTATGACCAAATAATACCAGGATGTGAAAGAACAAAGCCATGCCCTCTGGCAGTATCAAAAATTACATCAACTCTCCAGACCAGAGAGAAAATGACAAGTACCCAGAAATCAGTCCTGAAGACACAGAAATATGTAATCTAAATGACAGAGAATTCAAAATAGCTATCACCAAAAAACTCAACGAGTTAAAAGAGAATGTAGAGAAACAATTCAACGAGTTCAGGAGCTACTTCACAAAAGAGATTGAAACTAAAGAAGAATCAATTGGAAATATTGGAGATGAAAGATACAATCAATGAGATAAAACAAAATATGATTCCCTGAATGCTCAAGAGGACATCATAAAGGAGTGAATCAGCATAATCGAGGATAGACATGGAAATGATCCAGATAGAGGAGGAGAGAGAACTCAGACTAAAAAGAAATGAAGACAGTCTCCGAGAAATATCTGACTCAATTAGGAAATGCAACATAAGAATTATAGGTATTCCAGAGGGAGAAGAGAAGGAGAACGGAGTAGAAAGCTTGTTCAAGTAAATAATAGCAGAGAACTTCCCAAATCTAGGGAAGCAAATGGAAATCCATGTGGAAGAAGTTATCAGATCTCCTAAATATATCAATGTAAAAAGACCTACTGCAAGGCATATAGTAGGGAAACTGGCAAAAGTGAATAACAAAGAAAAAATACTAAGGGCAGCAAGGCAGAACAAAATAACCTACAAAGGAACCCCTATCAGGTTTTCGGCGGATTTCTCTGCAGAAGCCTTACAGGCTAGGACAGACTGGAATGACATATTCAAATCTTTGAAGTCTCTGAAGGACAAAAACTTTCAGCCAAGAATACTCTATCTGGTGATAATATCCTTCAGATATGATGGAGAAATAAAAACTTTCCCAGATAAACAAATGCTAAGGGAGTTCGTAGCCACAAGATCCATCCCCTACAAGAAATCCTCAAGGCCCTCATACCTGAAAAAAAAAGAGAGAAAGGGGTTACAATGCATGGAGTAAGGAGATAAATAGGTAGAAAAAAATCCAAAAATTGTAGCTATACATCAGAAGAGGTTAGCCAACACTCAAGTAAAACATTAAAGATAAAGAAGAGAACAAAGATAATCTTGTCATTTTAACCACAAACTCACAACACAAGATGGAATAAGATGTGAGAAAAACAACTTAGGAGGGAAAGAGGAAAGAGACTGAATCAGTTTAGTTTAAGGAATTAAGAGGCCATCAGAAAATGGACTATCTTATCTATGAGATTTTGAATATAAACTTCATGATCACTGCTAAGCAAATAATCAGAACAGGGACACAGATAATAAACAAGGAGAAAACAAAGAAGCACAACATAAAAAACTACATAACTCAGGGGCCAGCCCAGTGGCCGAGTGGTTAAGTTCGCGAGTTCTGCTTCAGTGGCCCAGTGTTTCAGTGGTTCAGATCCTGGGAACAGACATGGCACTGCTCATCAGGCCATGCTGAGGTGGTGTCCCACACGCCACAACTAGAAGGACCCACAACTAAAATATATACAACTAAGTACTGGGGGGCTTTGGGGAGAAGAAGAAGAAGGCAAAAAAAAGAAGATTGGCAACAGATGCTAGCTCAGGTGCCAATCTTTAAAAAAAACAAACTACATAACTCAATTGGTAGACTGAAATACACAGGACAAGAAACAAAGGAAATGCAGGAGAACCAGAAAACTAGTTTTAAAACGGCAGCATTAAGCCCTCATATATCGATAATCATCCTAAAAGTAAATGGTTTGAATTCTCCAATAAAAAGACACAGAGTGGCAAGATAGATTAAAGAACAAGACCTAACAATATGCTGCCTTCAGGAAACACATCTCAGCTCAAATGACAAACACAGGCTCAGAGTGAAGGGGTGGAAGATGATACTCCAAGCTAATGGCAAACAAAAGAAAGCAGTTGTCACAATACTTACATCAGACAGAGTAGACTTCCAGATGAGACAGGTAAAGAGAGACAAAGAGGGGCAGTATATAATGATCAAAGGGACATTCCACCAAGAAGACACAACACCTATAAATATCTAGGCACCCAACACAGGAGCACCAAAGTACATAAAGCAACTATTAACAAACCTGAAAGGAGATATTAATAGCAACACAATAATAGTAGGAGACCTCAATGCTCCACTCACATCAATGGCTAGATCATCCAGACAGAAAATCAACAAAAAGACAGTGGAGTTAAATGAAAAGCTAGACCAGTTGGACTTAACAGACATATATAGAACACACCATCCAAAAACAGCAGAATACACATTCTTCTCAAGTGTGCACGGAACATTCTCAAGGATAGACCATATGTTGGGAAACAAGGCAAGCCTCAATAAATTTAAGATTGAAATAATAACAAGCATCTTTTCCAATCACAATGCTATAAAGCTAGAAATTAATTGCAAGAAAGAAGCAGAGAAAGGGACAAACATGTGGAGGCTAAACAACATGCTACTGAACAAACAATGGATCAGTGAAGAAATTAAAGGAGAAATAAAAAAATATCTGGAGACAAATGAAAATGAAAATACACTATACCAACCCTCATGGGATGCAGCAGAAGCCATATTAAGAGGGAAATTCACCACAATACAGGCTCACCTTAACAAACAAGAAAAATCCCAAATAAGCAATCTCAAACTATACCTAACTGAATTAGAAAAAGATGAACAAACAAAGCCCAAAGTCAGAAGGAGAGAAATAATAAAAATCAGAGCAGAAATAAACGCTATTGAAACAAAAAAGGCAGTAGAAAGGATCAACGAAACAAAGAGCTGGGTTTTTTTAGAAGAAAAACAAAATTGACAAACTTCTAGCCAGACTTACAAAGAAAAAAGAGAGAAAGCTCAGATAAATAAAATTAAAAATGAAAGAGGAAAAATAACAACGGATACCACAGAAATACAATGGATTATGAGAGAATACTACAAAAAAACTATATGCCAACAAAATGGACAATGTAGAGGAAATGGATAAATTCTTAGACTCTTACAACCTCCCAGAGCTGAATCAAGAAGAAAGAGATAATCTGAATAGATCAATCACAAGTAATGAGATTGAAACAGTAATCAAAAGCATCCCCAAAAAATAAAAGCCCAGGACCAGAAGGCTTCCCTGGAGAATTCTACCAAACTTTCAGAGAGGATTTAATACCTATCCTTCTCAAGCTATTCCAAAAAATTAGGGAAGATGGAATGCTTCCTAACACATTCTGAGGCCAACATCATTGTAATACCAAAGCCTGACAAGGACAACACAAAAAAAGAAAACTACAGGCCAATATTGCTGACGAACATAGATGGAAAAATCCTCAAGAAAATATTGGCAACACGAATACAGCAATACATCAAAAAGAAAATACATCATGATCAAGTGAGATTTATACCTGGGACACAGGGATGGTTCAACATCTGCAAATCAATCGATGTGATATACCACATTAACTGAGGAATAAAAATCACATAATCATCTCAACAGATGCAGAGAAAGCATTTGACAAGATCCAACAGCCATTTATGATAAAAAACTCTTAACAAAATGGGGATAGAAGGAAATTGCCTCAACATAATAAAGGCCATATATGACAAACCCCCAGCCAACGTAATATTCAATGGGGAAAAACTGAACACCATCCCTTTGAGAACAGGAACAAGACAAGGATGCCCACTATCCCCACTCTTATTCAGCATAGTACTGGAGGTTTTGGCCAGAGCAATTCGGCAAGAGAAAGGAATAAAAGGAAACCAAACAGGGAGTGAAGAAGCGAAACTCTCACTGTTTGCAGACGACATGATCTTATATATAGAAAACCCTAAAGAATCCATTGGAAAACTATCAGAAATAATTAACAACTAGAGTAAAGGTGCACAGTACAAAATCAACTTACAAAAGTCAGTTGCATTTCTATACTGTAATAACGAACTTACAGAAGGAGAACTCAAGAATATAATTCCATTTACAATCGCAACTAAAAGAATAAGCTATCTAGGAATAAATTTAACCAAGGAGGTGAAGGACTTATACAAGGAAAACTACAAGACATTATTGAAAGAAACAGATGATGACATGAAGAGACGGAAAGAGATTCTATGCTCATGGATTGGAAGAATAAACATAGTTAAAATGTCCATACTACCCAAAGCAATCTACAGATTCAATGCAATCGCAATCAGAATCCCAATGACATTCTTCACGAAGATAGAACAAAGAATCCTAAAATTCACACAGGGCAACCAAAGACCCCAAATTTCTAAGGCAATCCTGAGAAAAAAGAACAAAGCCAGAGGCATCACAATCCCTGACTTCAAAATGTACTACAAAGCCACAGTAATCAAAACAGCATGGTACTGGTACAAAAACAGGCACACAGATCAATGGAACAGAACTGAAAGCCCAGAAATAAAACTGCACCTCAATGGACAGCTAATCTTCAACAAAGGTGCCAAGAACATACAATGGAGGAAAGATAGCCTCTTCACTAAATGGTGTTGGGAAATCTGGACAACCATTTGCAAAAGAATTAAAGTAGATCATCTCACGCCATACACAAAAATAAACTCAAAACGGATCAAAGACTTGAAGATAAGTCCTGAAACCATAAAACTCCTGGAAGATAATATAGCTAGTACACTCTATGACATCGAACTGAAAAAGATCTTTTACAATACCATGTCTTCTCAGACAAGGGAAACAAAAGAAAAAATAAACAATGGGACTTCATCAGACTAAAGAGCTTCTGCAAGCAAAAGAACTAGGATCAAAACAAAAAGACAATCCACCAATTGGGAGAAAATATTTGCAAATCACATTTCCAACAAGGGGTTAATCTGCATAATATATAAGGAACTCACACAATTGAAAAACAAAAAAAACAGCCCAATCAAAAAATGGGCAAAAGATATGAACAGACACTTTTCCAAAGAAGATAAACAGATGACCAATAAACACCTGAAAAGATGTTCAATATCACTAATCATCAGGGAAATGCAAATCAAAACTACACTAAGATACCACCTTAGACTTGTTAAAATAGCTATAATCACTAAGACTAAAAATAAAAAATGTTGGCGAGGGTGTGGAGAGAGGGGAACCCTCATACACTCCTGGTGGGAACGCAAACTGGTGAAGCCAGTATGGAAAAAGTGGAGATTCCTCAAAAAACTAAAAATAGAAATAGCATATGACGCAGCTATCCCACTACTGGGTATCTGCCCAAACAGCTTGAAGTCAACAATCCAAAGTGACATATGTACCCCTCTGTTCATTGCAGCACTATTCACAATAGACAAGACAAGGAAACAATCCAAGTGCCCAGTGACCAATGATTAGATAAAGAAGATGTGGTATATATATACACAATGGAATACTACTCAGCCATAAAAAAAGGACAAAATCATCCCATTTGCAAGAACATGGATGGACCTGGAGGGTATTATGCTAAGTGAAATAAGCCAGACTGAGAAAAACAAACATATGATTTCACTCATATGTGGAATATAAACAAACACATGGACAAAGAAAACAGTTCAGTGGTTACCAGGGGAAAGGGGATAGGCGGTGGGCACTAGGGGTGAAGGGGAGCACTTATGTGGTGACAGTCAAGAAGTAATGTACAGGGGCCAACCCCGTGGCCGAGTGGTTAAGTTCGCGCGCTCCGCTGCAGTGGCCCAGGGTTCGGATCCTGCCGGCAGACATGGCACTGCTCGTAGGTCACGCTGAGGCAGCGTCCCACATGCCGCAACTAGAAGGACCCACAACTAAGATATACAACTATGTACGGGGGGGTTTGGGGAGATAATGCAGAAAAAAAAAAAAAAATTGGCAATGGTTGTCAGCTCAGGTGCCAATCTTTAAAGAAAAAAAAACAAGAGAAGTAATGTACAACTGAAATTTCAAAATGATGTAAACTATTATGAACTCAATAAGAAAAAGAACCACTGAATAACTCCTCTTGCAAAGAAAATAACAAAGCACAAAATTAATGAAATAGAAAACAAGAGTCAATAAGACGATCATCAAAGCCAAAAGTTGGTTCTTCGAAAAAAAATAAAATTCATAAAACTCAAGCAAGATTAATAAAAAGAGAAAGAAGGCACATATAAATAATATTAGGAACAAGGCAGCAAAGATTAACAATATAAAATATTAAAAACAATTAATGCCAATAATTTTGAAACTTGAAACAGAAAATTTCCTAGAAAATATAAATTTCTACACTGATTCACAGACAAAAAAAAGTGAGAATGTAAATAGTCTTGTACTCTTAATCAAAACTGAATAACTAGTTTAAAATCTTCCCATGGAGGGAGGAAAAGGCCCTGACAATCCTATTAGCAAGTTCTATAAAATTTGCAAGGATCAAACATTGTAATCTAATCAAATTCTTCTAAAGCCTATAAAAGGGGGACTGTGCCTTAACTCATTTAATGAGGCTAATATAACCTTGACAACAAACGCAGAGAAAGACAGAATTAAAAAATAAAACTGTAAGTTAATCTCACTCCTGAATATAAATGCAAACATCCTACATAAAATATGATATATGACACATGATATGATGTGATGGGAATTTCACTTCTGTGCTACTCTCTCAAAAACCTATAACCCCAGCCTATTTATGAGACAACATCACACAAACCCAAATTGAGAAACATTCTACAAAATACCTCACCAGTACTCTTCACAAGTGTCAAGGTCATGAAAAACAAGGAAAGACTGAAAACCTGTCACAGATCAGAGGAGACTAAGGAGACATGAGGATTAAACATAATGTGGGATCCTGGACTGGATCCTGAACAAAAAAAGGCCACTAGTGGAAAAACTGGTAAAATCCAAATGACCGCAGTTTAGTTATCGTAAATTCTTAGTTTTAACAAATGTACCATGGTTATGTAAGATGCTACTAACATTAGGGGAGGATGGGTATATGGGTACTCTATGTACTTTCCTTGCAACTTTTCTGTAAATCTAAAACCATTCCAAAATAAAAACTGTGCATCACCACCTTTAAAGTAATCTTGCAAAATATAAATCTGTTCCTAATTCAACCTCTAGAACCAACTACCAATTTATAGGATATATGCAAGATAAAAGAACATATTAAACTACACTATGATAATGCAATGAGCTAAATCCAGAATGTTAAATTCTCTAAGACAAATGACTCTGTTTCTTCAACAAATAAACGACATGTAAAACTAAAAAGAGGAAGTGCAGTTAAAGATACTTAAGAAACATATCAACCAAACTGATAAAACAATATAAAAAGATACTTTTGAAACAATCACACAAATCTGAACTCCGACTAGGAATTAGCTAATATTAAAGTTATTATTACTTTTGTTAGGTGTTACAATGGTATTGTGGTTTACACTTATTAAAGAGTCCTTATCTATGAAGAGATATATTGAAGCATTTATGAATAAAATTATATGATGTTTGCTTTAAAATATTTGGAAGGGAGAGTAACGTGTTTGCTATACTCTTCTCTTTATATCTGTATACGTTTGAAATTTTCCAGTAAGAAAAGAAGTGTTTCATTTCTACAAGCTAGGTAATCAATAGTTAGAACAGCAGTTAAGATTCAAAAGTAGTAAAATTCTTACGTGGGAATAATTAGCCTTTCAACCATCTGCTTTCTTAGTCTGGATATAACACATAGGAAGCACAGAGGTGTCATGATTTCAGGGAAGCAGAACCCATACTCACTTGGCAGAAACTGGGTCTGTGGTTAAAACCCATCCTTTATACTCCTTCTCACTGGCTGTCACTCTGACTTCTTTGTAAGTGTAATCTTGCCATTCTAAAGGGCCTTTCTTCATCCATTCATTCATGGCTGCCAGCTGGCTAGATTTAAAACAACCACCAGTTCGGGTTATTACATATGTCCCACCTAAGCAAACGTCTTACCTCCAATTTCCATCCTAGAAGTAGAGAACATCTGTGATTTGCTTTAAATTCCGTGTCAGGAAAATAGTTAATATTCACTATTCATTCTAAAAGCTAAGGGGACACAGAGTCGCCGCGGGGCCCAGTCTGGGGTAACTCATCTGGTATACTCCTACTCTGCCTCCGAATCCCATCCCAGATCGCCTTCATGCTGGCTTTGAACGCCGGTCTGCAGATGCTTAAACCCTTTAAATCTGCTCTCCTTCATCAAAGAAGCTAACTCCACAACACTTTTAGGCAAAACTTGGGGGGGGGGGGGGGGCGGGGAGCGAAAAAACAAAAAAAAACTCTGATACCCACCCAGTCGCTCTCTGGCTCTGTGTCTCCGCCGGATCTCTCCAAGGAGAGGCCCCCGGATCTGTGACAATTTCCTCTTAAAATTGGTTTGGAGGATGCATAAATAAGAGCGCAACAGCTAAGGCTCTGGAGCTCAGCTTCCCTGGCCTAGCCTACAGCCCCATGATACTTAGAGCTGTAGGCAAACCTGGTGGTACCTAACCTTTAATCCTGCCAAAAGAGACAGACACCAGTTACAACTCCTAGTGGCAACCGGGACCCAGCAAGCACGCCGTCGGGAAAGAGTTCCTAGAGCGGAGCCCGCCCGAGTCCAGCATGCTTTGCGCCATGTCGTCACTTCCTTCCCCCAGAATTCTCTGTTTTGTAGTCCTTGGCCTTAGACACACCTAGAGGTCTGAGAGTCGCGGGATCTGGAGTGGTAAACGCCGGGTGCAGGTTGCGAGCAGGGGCTGAGACTTTTGTGTAATGATAATATTTCTTCTTCGCCAGAGCCACCCCTCTCCACTGCCACGTTGGACATTTCAATTTTTTTTTTGAAGAGGAAAAGGCTAGTGCCAGCTCCATGTTGAGAGTAGACGTGGTAATACACTTTTTTCATGGATTCAAAGCACAGGAACTCTTTGGGTAAATCGTAAAGCTCTGGAAGTGTGAGGTCAAAGTACCTTGGAGAAGAGCGACAGAGCCAAGGTATTTCTTGTTTGTTTGGCCTGTGTAAGGCAATTAAGCTTCTTTGGGAGGTGTCCGTGGTACAGTCTTGCAGATGCTGAAGCCGGAAAGTAAAGCACGAGATTGGTTGAACTCTGCCTAACAGACCACTCTCTATAAACGCCCTCCCACCCCACCCCACCCCACCGCACCCCACCCCACCCCAATTGGAAAAGTGCAAAAGACTCGCTTCCACCACGGATTTCTGGTCACGTACTTAGTGGGCATCTGGTATAGTTCAGAATTTTTTCCGGTCTGTAATCTTGAAAAATGGTACAAGGTGGTAAATGTTGAGTTCCTGCAAGTTGAACACCCAGGGAGATTTACAAAAACAGAATTAGAGGACTGTCAAACCACAATGTAGAAAACATCAAAAGTTAATCAGCTTTCCCCTGACTACTTGGGATTTGAGTTCCGTAAAATCCCTGAAGTATATTGTTTCTTATTGTCTTCATTCCAAATAATCCTTCCTGTAACCTTCGCTCATTGAATGATTGGCTGACTATATTAATGTGGCTTGAGTGGATTAAATTAGATTTTGCCAGTTAAAGTCCTCTGTAAATTTACAAAGAGCTAATATAAACACCAATTGTTATTATAGTATGAAGGAAAACATTTGGCCGCATAAAAATTCAGTCCTAAAGAGCTACACCCAATTTGTGACAACTGGTTATTTGCATTTTAAGCCTTCTATCTACACTGCAGAATGAAATACTTTGTTACATGTGTATATATACTTAACAACGGCCTTTTTTAAACTGCTTTAAGCTGGCTCCTGCACACCACCGGCTGTGCTCCTACCAGCTTTATGACTTTGGAAGTCCTTTACCTTCTTAGATTTCAGTTTCCTCATCTATAAATGAAACTATGGGGTTAGATGACCCAAGATACTGTCAACTCTAAATTTTCATGACTAAGCCATACACAGACACTTTGTGAGCCCTGTAAACTCCCTTAGAGGGTTTTATTTATGTCTTTTATTTACTACCATATATACCTCCTCTATAGCACATTGCCTGGCATATAGTAAGTGCTCAATTTGAACTGAACTTTTATTTCTCAAACAGTTGTATAGCACCTAATATGTGCCAGGCACTATTCTAAGAATTTTCAAATATTAACTCATGTTATGAGTGAATAAATAGACCGAAGAGAATAGGAAAAATTTGAGTGATGGAGTGACATGATTAAATCAGTATACTAGAAAGGGTGCAGAAAAATTGGACATGGGGAAAATAGAAAAGTATAGAGCATATAGAGCATGAAACTTGATGTAAAATGTAGCCTATTTAAACAAAGCCATGATATTAGGGGGAAAAAATTCCAGAACTACTTCCCGAATGGAAATCTAGTTTTAGAAAGGCAGTGTCTCCAAATTGCTTAGTTATCTGTCCCACCCAGAGGGGAGATTTTACAACCTCAGAGAGGGAAGATGGGTTTCCCTAGCAGTAGAGGGAAGATAGCATTGTTTCCTTAGGATGAAAACATTTGAACAGACTGTGAACTCTGAAGCACTAGACAAATGTAGGGCATGAAAGTTTAGAAAACTGCTTCTGTGTGATTCCTTCTTAAATATGCCCACATAATATCTTTTGGATAAAAATCAGTGCCATTTTTTTTTTTTTTTTAGTTTCTCTTATACAAAGAAGTACTCTAAGTGGCAAGAGTATACATGTTTTATGTGTATTTTATTTTGATTTGAAAAAAATAGTAAAGTGGAGTTAATCATTTTTATTTTCCCTGGAATTGCCTTGGAACAAAAAAGGATGTTCACTACTGAGTTCCTAGTAACCACTGCAGTGGTCCAGACAGGAAATAAAGTCCTAGCCTAAGTTGATAGCAGTGGAAGTGAAAAAGGGAAGAGGGATAGCTTCAACAAATGTCTCAAGGAAGAAATCAGCAGGACTTAGTGATTGATTGGATTGGGGCAAGGGCATGTTGAGAAGAACTTTGACTCTGGGCCTTTACCAGAAATTCTCTTTGTTCTTTTCTTCATTCTTAACCCCCTCTTCTTCGTTTTTTTCAGGATCTCAAGCCTCCAATAGTTATTACATTTACTAAATTAGATAAGAAAATTTCTTCATGGAATAAAAAATGCTTGAATAGCACTTTATCTGTGCTTATGGCACAGAAAGGCAAGAGTGAGGTAGCCCCCCAAAGCTCTTATAAACTAGTCCTAAGTGTTAAATAAAATGGATGTGATTAGATCTGATTCATTTGCACAAAGAGACCATAAATAATCTGTGTGACCAAAGAATGTGGGGAGGACCGAAATTCCAAACTCACTGAGCTGGTTTGTATTCTCTGGAAGCAGGACTGGAATGGGATTGAGTTTTAGTAAATGGAAACTTAATTATATTGTAGCCTACTTGGACATTCAGTAACCCAGGGTTGGCGGAGAAGGCACGGAAGAAGAAAGGTCAGCAAGCAAAAGGTTGGGAGGGGTCTTTTGGAGACTTTTAATCTGGAAGGCAGGGACTTTCCAGAGATGTCTGCTTATTGTGGGGAATGAATGCTTCATTAAGTCTCACCCTGGCCTGGAATAGATATTCCTAAAACTATCTGTCTCTTTACATTCTGATTCTATGCTTGCCATGCTGCCTGTGACTCTGCTGCTGGTTTTCTGAGTACACTGTTTATCAGAAGAAATGGTTCTTAAGATGGAAACATGAACACTTTCTAGTCAATAGAAAGGAATAGACCAGAAGTCACAAATTAGGGGCCGAAAGGTCATATCAGGATGGGCAGATTAGCTTAATGACTGCACAGTGTTAAATTTTTTTTTTGAGGAAGATTAGCCCTGAGCTAACATCTCCCAATCCTCCTGTTTTTGCTGAGGAAGACTGGCCCTGAGCTCACATCCGTGCTCATCTTCCTCTACTTTATATGTGGGACGCCTACCACAGCATGGCTTGTCAAACGGTGCCATGTCCACACCTAGGATCTGAATCGGCGAACCCCGGACTGCTGAAGCAGAACGTGCACACTTAACCACTGTGCCAGCAGGCTGGCCCCTACATTTTTTTTTTTTTAATTTGAAAGCATTTAGATAAGTTTGCTGTCTCTTCTTCACAACTTCACAACTTCATTTTCCACCATTTTTATTGTTCTACATTTGGCTTCTTCTTATGTTTACATTACCTGCTTGATCCCTACAAGAAATTGAGTTTGCAACTATGGAGTAGTCCCCACTATAAATAAATAAATCAGCAGGGTAAATTCTACCTTAGTCTCTTGTGAGTTTGACTAGTGAGAATCAGCCTCAAGGTGTCTGGTCAACTCTTGGACCAGTTAAGGGCCAGAACCTCTGCTGTGGGTGGCAACTTCACCAAGGAAATGCCAATTGCAAGATTTCCTGTTAGAGCCCCCATAAAATCTTCCCCAGGTGGTTCCCGATCTCATTGTTGCCTTGCCGCCTTTTCAACTGTGCCCCTCGATACCATTTTGTATCTTATGTGTTGTGGCAGTTACTGTAGGTTGGTTCATTTAATGATCCTTTCCCACAACCTCCTAATGAGGTTTGAAAGCTAAAACTCAACCTTCAGCTTCCCTTGCAGGTAGAAGTGGCCACATAAATATTTCTGGCCAATGAGATATACATGGAAGTCCCTAGGAAGGCTGTTCCTTCCAAAGTAAAAAGGCAAAGCTTGCTAAGAAGGAGAAAGCCTTTTCTGTGCCTTAACCATTCCTCTTCCAATCTGCATGGCTTTGACAGAAGGCCTGGAGGTGAGGCCTCTTTCCACCGTGAGAAGACATGAAAGAGAAGGCCTACAGGCCAAACGGAAAAATAAAAGTAAAAGGAGCCACCTAACTTCAGATTGCTTTTGTTTGGACCAAATAAACTCCTGTCTGTTTAAGGAACTGTTTTAAGTGTCTCCACCCCAACAAAATCCTTTTCTAACTTATCTCCCTAATGGAGCCATCAGGAGAGGGACCACACTTTATATCCTCAGTACCCTGTTCTGTGCCTGCATATAGTAGGCATTCAACATATGTTTGTTTAACCAATTAACAAATTGCTATTTATTGGAAGAAGCTGGGACAAAACACAAAACCATAATTTAGGCAGAGAGTTACTTATTTCATAAGTGACCAAGATAAACAAGAATAGAAAAAGCAAGTTAACAGGTCAAATTTTAGATTGGCAAAGCAGGTAACAAAGAGACCTTTGTTTCTTCCCAAGAAAATAATTTAAATCCTCTGCACTGAAGAACAATGTGTTATAATTCTTACTAGTAGTAGTAGTAATAATAAATGTGTATTAACTCTGTCTTAATTAACACACAAAAACCAGGAGATAGGAACTATTATTATACCTATTTTATAGCTAAGGAAACTGAGGCACAGAGGCCCAAGTCCACATAGCTGGTTAGTGACAGAGCTAGGACACAAAGTCAGGTAATCAGGCGAGAGTGGTTAAATTAACTACTATACCATACTGATTAAATAATGGAGAATAACTCAACCACAACTGTTCACCTAAAGGTCTATTTTTAATTAATGAGGAGCATGTTTTTCAAAGTAAGCATTTCTAAATCTGAAATATTAGCTCCTCATTGTGGTTCAGTTAGTTGTCTGCACAGCCAAAGCATTACGAGAAAGTGTTACACTTGTGTTTTAGCAAACCAAACTTTCCCAGGAACTTCGGTTTCCAAGAGTGACTGCAAGGAGGATACACTCAGCCAGACTTAATGGTCTGGAAATTAGGTACTGATTTTATCCCTAAGGCAGGCAAAACAATATGGAGCCCCCTACCTACAGCTGCTCTCAGGTTAGCCCACTAACAATCGCAACAGGATAGATGCAAGCAGTTTAATTATGTTGAAGTCTTAATAGGAATTGCACGTTAGGGAGAGCAACTAAGCTAGGCTATGGTAACTAAACTCTCCCTCCACCAGCCTAGTCTTTTTCTCTACCCAGTGCATCCTTGGCCGCCTCCAATTATCTTCAGAAGGGGTGTGTGTGTGTGTGTGTGTGTGTGTGTAAGGGGAGGACTCCTTTCTTCTCTATCCTGTGGCAAATTATAGACCCTTTTTTGAGCTTCCCAATGAAAACAAGTAAAATGTACTACTGATCACACAGCGGGAAAATATCTTCTCTGGTATAAAAAGCCAATAAAAATTATTGTGTGTGAGGGAAAACCATTCAGTCTGTGCTATTCAGTGTATCATTGTTTTGAAATGTCAGTAAGACCTTAAAGTCTTTTTTTCTTTCTTTTAACAATTAAATCAAAACATTTACAGGGGGCTGGGATTCCTAGTGTAGCTACTTTCCCTATTTTATTTGCAAGTTGTATACTAGTGAGATGGTAAAAAATATTTTTTGAGTTTTTGACAATGCTATCTAACATAATTGATCAATTTATAACATATAAGAGAGTATATAATGTACATCATTTGCCTTTTCTTTTTCAAGAATGTGCATCACTCCATTTGCCAGTCTAAGACATTCCATTTTATATGTATGCAGAAGGAAAGAGGGAAAAGTAATGGCCAATTCCTTTCTTACTTGTTACTGGTCAGATTCTTAGCAGCCGCCTCTTCTTGGATTTCTTCCACAATGAAATGATTTTCCTACCTGTTAATTACCTTGCTGACTGTAGATACTTCATTCATAATAAACAAAACCACACTTTGTGTCTAAATCACTTTTCTTTAGCTATTTGTTCAAGGGCTATGTGAGCCCTAAACTGTAATCGGGCTTCCATGGAATAGTCTTTGTAGTTTTTTATGTTGTCCAGGCTTTTTGTCGCATTGGCATGATCTCCTTTTAGATAGTATAGAACTCCCAGTTCATAGTAAGTATATGGCACCAAATAGTGGTCATATTTTAACAATTTTTCCTTTTGAATGACACGATTAAAGTACTCCTCAGCCATGGAATATCTGCCTAAGTGTTTCAGACATAGACCTTTCAGTAAATTTAAGAAACTTATGTCATCTGTGCCATACTCTTTATTTGGATGTTCTCGTAAAAGTTCTTCGCCTTTGTCAATTATTGAAAGCCAGCTTTTGATAAGGCCTAGTTTTTTGCTCATGATTCGGAAACCACTCCAGGCATAAATGAATTCCAGAAGGGGCTGTGCTGTAAACCAGCCTGTGGTAGTACCATAGCGCTGGCCCTTCTCAGCAACAAACTTTTCAATTGGCACAGAAGTTCCTAAAATTTTGGCTTTCAGGCTATCCACTTTTATGAAGAGAGAGTTCATATCCTCACCTAGCGATTTCACAAAATCAGACGGAAACAAGGCCAGTAGTACAGCTTTACTGTACAAATACATTGTCTTGGACCACCTGCTGTGGTGAAACAGTAGATCGGCATAGTAGTAAGCGTGCTTCCAATCCTGCAGAAAAATGTGACACCACATGAGTTCCCAGTAACAGAGGTGATGAATCTGCTTCCATTCATTCTGGAGAAAAATGCACTCCTCTAAAGCTAATTGTGCATTTTCAAAATTTCCTTTCAGCATACTAAAACGTGCCTGAAAAAATTTAAGTATGACACACTTTGGAAATTTCTGAAGGTAGATTAGAAAGAGATCTTCTATAGCAGAACTGTGACCCTTTTCAACACCAAAAGCTACATGGATATAACTGTAATAAAAGAGTAGAGTCAACAGACTTAAGATATTATTTAAATGGGATTCAGATGCACTCTCATTAAGCAAAGTCAAGCCTAACTCTCTATCACCAGAATATCCGACCATATTGAGTATTTTGAGTGTCTTTGGTGGCACAAGTGATAATATCAAATTGAATGCTCCAAGTCCAAATTTTATTCCTCCAACCAGATGTCTGTGGGTTTTGCTTTGGTGGTTAGGTAAATGTGTTAATACTTGTTGACAGTCTTTGTATATTTGATAACTTGACCCAACGCTGATCCCACTTTTAAGAAAATTAAGCACACTGTCCTCCTGTATAAATGTTATAGTGGCTTTCAAGATCAAACACTCAGCATAGCAGACTTCTGCATGCAATTCCTCTTCTCTGATTGCCTTTATTCCCTGTTTACTTACTAGATGAGAAAAACTTATCATTCTGGATTTTCTTCGGAAACTGTGACAGGTTTTCAAAGCTTCTTGGGCAGCAGTCGTTCCATTCTGTATATCCTCTGGATCAAAAGTCAAGATGCCCTTGACAACCGTAAGGATACTATAAAGTAGAGCATGGTATATGCTGTTTTTTGACCATGGATGAATGAGATTTATGGCGTCTGAGAATCTGTTATTCAGAAATAAATACAGTCCAGTTGTGCATTCTTCCAGGGAAGATACTAGATTCATTGTTGTTGCCACAGGGATAAATTCATAGGCGTCTTCAAACTTTTCCTCCTTATCATTCTCTCCCTTAATTAGAGTAAATGATGTCACGTCATCCTCCTTATCGTTTTCTCTTTTACTTAGAGTGAATGACATATTTCCTTCTCCAATTTAGAGGTGGGAAATATCTGAAGTGGAGTGATGTGTCTGCAATGAAGGTAGCTCCTGCTCTCCTGACTGGGGTCGCTTCTTCCACAGCCTGAGGTGTTGCTGTTGTATTGGAGGCAAACAAACTAATAGCTGTGAGGTGCAGCATTAGGATATTCTCATCTATGTCAGATAAAGGGAAAAAAAGATAATTTTATTTACCTGGAAGATGTACTTCTGAAAAATTCAAATCATTTGGAACATACTAAAGACAACATGCTCTTTTAAAACAATGTGAAGTAAATCCTTTGTAAACGGAAGAGTTATTTTGTAACCATCCCTCCAATCTATCATTTTCATAAGATCGTGCTTTTACAGGTTTATGTTGTAGAACTGTACTGTGATAGCTGTAAAGCTTCTCCATAGGAAGGCCTTGGGGGCAAGAATCTGGCTGGAAAGGGGAATGTATTTGTATAGATCTTGAGTTAAGACTAAGGAAGGGGTGAATTGTCCAGGACAAAGAATAAAGATTATGAGAATGAAAAATCCATTCCATGCTATTCTTAGTACCACCGCTGCACTTGCATATATTTTTATAGAAAACTAGGACTTGAAGAAATATTATGGTTACTTGTATAGGACTTTGCATATGGAAAGTGCTATGGAAACTAGAAAGATTTCCTAGCATTGTTGCAGTTAGGAAAAAAAATTTAAATGTAACAGTTGTTATCACAGCATTACTATAGTGGTTTAGTTGGAAAGTGGGGTAGAGGTGGGCACAATGGAAAACCAGTTACAAATAGCAAGCTACTTAATTTATTCATAACACCACAATAGGTTCAATTTATCTATTTTTAAAAGTAGAAAAAACACACACTTTAGTAATTATTACAATGCTTTATAATAATTACAAATATACTGTAAAATGTACTTTAAATCTATATTTTGATAATTTAAAAGACAGGAGAGGGAGGTAAAGCAGAGGAGAATAATCAAAGGAGAAGAAAGAGAGAAATGCAGAAGAGATGCAGATTTTTACACAGGAGAGAGAAAACTGAGTAAAAATATGTTATATGTGAGAAAAAAAGGTTGGAGAGAAGGAGAGCCTCAGAGGTATTATTTTAGTTAAATTGCTCATTTTTACATCTTAGAGTTTAGTTTCGTTTCAGGGTATTAGCAACCATGATCACCATCCATTGAAAAGCTAAGTTAACTACACATTTATAGAAAAGGCTCAGTTCTGAGGAGGAAAGCCATGCACCCATGAGGAGGGAAACGGTCCTTGGGGCTGCAATAGTAGTGACTAGATTAAGGTTTGCTGGAGAAACCTAGATGAGAGCCAGATTCAACCCAAGGACAATGGGTTGAATGCTTTGGCTTAATGCTTTTAAATTATATTCCAAAAAAATCCCTATTCTCCATCCAAGACAGCCCAAATTTTACTTTTTCTGAAAACTTACCTAAGTCTGTCAGCATAATCACTCTAACAGCATTCTGTATATATCTCTATTAGTGTTTATCTCACTGCATTGTAATTATTTATACACCTGCTTTCATCACTAGCCTGGGAGCTTCAAGGCATTATTTATGTTTTATCCAGCATTATATCCCAGTTCTAGCACACTCCCTTGAACAAAGCAGGCATTAATAAATGGTTGCTAAATGAATTCAGGTGCCCATAACGTATTTATAGGAATTTCTTGAAAGCAAGTAGTAAACTCATCCTTCTGCCCCATGATTGCTAGGTTTGCTACTCCCAAAGAGCATATAAAGACATAACCATAATGAATTCTCTGTACCAAGATTTACTTGTATATTGTTCTACAATATTTTTAGGATTGGGCTTCTATTTTTTACCTAGCTCAAGGATTAATACTTGTATAGTCAATAATATACATTTTCAGAGATGTTGGTGGGGGGACTTATTCCCTATTCTTTTTTTCCTCAATTTTCAAATTTTCTCAATTGACAAAATTGTAAGATATTTAAAGTGTACAACATGATGATTTTGGAGGGTGTGAGAACATTTAAGTTCTACTCTCTTAGCAAATTTTAATTATACAATACAGTCTTATCAACTATAGTCACCATGTTATACATTAGATCCTTAGACCTTATTCATCTTATAATTGAAAGTTTGTACTCTTTTACTAACTTCTCTACTTCCTCCACCCCCTTTATTCCCCATTCTTAATGTTCCCATAAGGGGACTTTTTTCTAGCAGGATACTCCTGGCCGGTGGGCTGACTTCTGACTGAGGGGTGATAGAAGGACCTGGGAAAGTGTAGCTTTATGCCTTCTGAATTCCTTCGTTTGGAACCAACCTATCCAAAGCCTGAAACCAAAAAAACAGGAGAGTTTGTTTTCTGCTCTCCAGCTGCGTCTGGGACCAAGTGAGTAAATCTGTTTAATTAAGGAGTGAGCATTAGTGAGCCCACTTGGCAGCACATCTGAAGTCACAGTAACTATTAACGTAATCAAAAAGGTCATGTTTTGGTCTTCTTCTGCCTGACTCTTGCATCTATATCTCATTGGTTCTGAGCTCAGGAGAGGAAAAGGGATATTATTTATCAACCCCTAAAACTGTCTCCTCCTCCTTCTACTCTTGTATTCCCTATCTAGATGAGTGGTACCATCACCCACCCTAGATCTCTTGTTTTCCCTCCTCCCATATCCATCAGTGACCGTTCCCTGTCAGTTCTATTTTGCTGAATGAGGTGCCTCTCTCTTGTCCTCCAGATCACCCTGAGCATAATTCTTTAACAAGACTTATCACTAACGTTATACTACGGTAAAATGCACAGATTGTGAAGTTAGATTGCTTAGTTTGAATCCTGATTCTGCTGCGTGCCTGGCTTTACTGTGCCTCTGTTCCCTCATCTGCAAATAGGGACTAACAGTCCTTCTACCAAAGAGTGGTTTGGAGAATTAGGTATAAAGCAGTTAGGACAGTATCTGGCATACATAGTAAATACTCAATATATTATTCTATACCAACCCACCCCCCACAGCCTGGCATATAGCAGGTGCTTACTGAATTGTTTTAAATGAGGCTTGGTGTGCAGACTGCTTTGTGTAGGAGTTCCAAAGCTTCTGGTGATCGAGGTGGAGTCACACTGCTATCATTCTTTTACTTAAAATATTCTGTCTGAATAAAACAGTACAGTGTTTACCAAAGGAAGGTGGTAGGGAATGGGCACAGGGGGTGAAGGAGAGCACTTATGTGGGGACAGTCAAGAAATAATGCACAACTGGGGCCTGCCTGGTGGCACTGTGGTTAAGTTCCCATGTTCCACTTCAGGGGCCCAGGGTTTGCAGGTTCGAACCTGGGTGCAAACCTATGCACCGCTTGGCAAGCCATGCTGTGGCAGGCGTCCCACATATTTATAAAGTAGAGGAAGATGGGCACGGATGTTAGCTCAGGGCCAGTCTTCCTCAGCACAAAGAGGAGGATTGGCAGCAGATGTTAGCTCAGGGCTCATCTTCCTCAAAAAAAAAAAAGAAAAAAGAAAAAGAAATAATGTACAACTGAAATGTCACATTTATGTAAACTATTATGAACTCAATTAAAAAAAATAGTGAAGATGTTCAGCTTCAAGAAAAAAAATTCTGTCTGAAATGTCTTCTTTACCTCTGTCTGCTAGTCTACATTTGGAACGATCAATCTAGTGAGAATGGATCAGGGAGGGCTAATACTGAGCCCGAAAGATCAGTCAGTTAGGGGGCTTCAGTGAGGTAGGGAGAGAGAAGTTGAAGATATAGAAAGGAACAATTCAATCAAAAGTAGGCAGGGGGGAAGCACAGAGCACAGGTGAAGGGAAAAGTAGCAGTAGATAAGATGAGAAAAACCTCTTCCACTAACATAGAAGAGCCTTCCTTCCTATCATTCATTCAATACATACTTACTTGAGCTCCTTCTAATGCTGAGCACTATCCTTGGTGCCGGGGATACAGCAGTGAACAAAACAAAGACCCTGCTCCCATGGAATTTTCCTAGGGGAGAGACATTATGGTGGGGGAGGGACATTGTGATGGGGGGAGAGAGAGAATAAATAAATGAATAAGTAACATGTCAGCTGTTGATATATGGTATGAAGAAGAATAAAATAGGTTAAGACAGAATAAGGAATTTAGAGAGTGATGGGGTGTGTGGTACTTGCTATTTTATGTAGAGGAGTCAGAGAAGGCCCCCTGATAAGGTGACATTTGAGCCTCGATGTAGAAGATGTGAGGGTCTCTTGATCTCTTCTTTCAGTCTAAGATAAGTGAACATCCTCTGTGGCATCCCATGATGCCTTGTATTTATCTCTATCACAGCACTTGCTATATATATATTTTTAAATGTCTTTCTTCTGCATCTTTTATATCTGTCTTCATCACTGAGTACCATGACTGGCACTTAGTCATTAAACTAAATTAACATTTACCAAATGGCTATGACAGTTTTCATTTTATATGTACTAAGACAAATTCAAGATGAAGTAGTCATTTAACTGTTAAAATAATAAGAGTCAGGAAAATGTAACATGAAAAAAGGAATTGATGTCCTTAATATAGTAAGAGTTCCTAAGAATCAATAAGATAGAAGAAATACTCCAACAGAAAAATCAGTAAAGGACATAAACAAATTGCCAATAAGCATAATACTGAATCTCCCTGTAAATTAATAAAATATAAATAAAAAATAATATACCCACTTTAGAAATAAAATTTGGCAGATTAAAAGAATTCATCCCGGGCCAGCCCCACGGTCAAGTGGTTAAGTTCAAATGCTCCGTTTGGCAGCCCAGGGTTTCACGGGTTTGGATCCTGGACATGAACATGACACCGCTGGTCAGGCCATGCTGAGGTGGTGTCCCACATGCCACAAGCAGAAGGATCTACAGTTAGAATCTACAACTACGTACTGGGGGGCTTTAGGGAGAAGAAGGAGGGAAAAAAAAAAGAAGATTGGCAACAGATGTTAGCTCAGGCGCCAATCTTAAAAAAAATAAAAAGAATTCATCCAGTCTTAATAAAGGTGCAGAGAACCAAATACCCTTGTACACTTGTTGGTGGGTGTATAAATGGCTGCAACCACTTTGGAGAGCTATTTGGCAACATGTTTTAACAGTCTTTTACATTTTTTATACTCTTTGACCCAGCAATTTCACTTATGGAATTATTCTAAAGAAACAATCAGGGATGTGCATAAATATCTATACAAGTTACATATACTTCAGCATTATTTATAATATAAAAAATGAAAACAATTTAAAATTTCTTACAACAGAGGAGATTGATACAGTGCAATACTATGCAAAAATTATAATGTAGAATATTTAATGACTTGGAAAATTGTTTATGGTGTAATGCACTGTATTAGTCAGGGTTCTCCAAAGAAACAGAACAATACCACATATATATAAAATAATATATAAAATAAGCAACTGGCTCACACAGTACTGGAGGCTAAGTCCCAAGATCTGTAATAGGCAAGCTGGAGACCCAGGAGAGCCGATGGTATAAATTCCCATCTGAAAGCCAGCATGCTTGAAACGCAAGAAAAGTTCAGAGTCCTAAGGCAGGAAAAGAGTAATGTTCTGGCTCACGCAGCCAGGCAGGAGGAATGCTCTCTTGCTCAGCCTTTTTGTTCCATTCAGGTCTTCAATAGATTCAATAGGTTGTGAGGCCCACCCACATTAGGGAGGGCAGTCCGCTTTACTCAGTCTACTGATTCAAACCCCGGAGGCTGGACTTCAGAGATCATAGTCATAGTCACTGCACTATACTGTGCAGTATGAGCTAACTTCTTTTTCTTAAAAAAGTCATTTGACATTTATTGAGCATCTGCTTTGTGCCTGGCACTGTTCTAAGATGCCTGGGCTATAGCACTGAAAACGACAATGTTTTATCTGGAAAGTTAAATCATGTAGGATTATTGCTTTTTTCATTGTGCTCTTCTATATTTTCCATTTTCTACAATAAACATAAATTTTTTTATAATTTAAAAAAGTTTTTACATTCTCAATTTAATATTACGTGGATAATTGATCATCTTATCTATATAACTCAGTGGAATAATTGAGCAAAGCAAGGAAAAACATGCAACACTGCTGTCCAAAATCATTAAAAATTTTGAATTGGATTATGATTATTAGCTGTGAATCATTTTGAAAGTACACTTGAATGTATGATACATGAATGAATATAAGTGAGACAATGAATGTCTAAAACATCTCAGTGATTTTTCTAAAACCAAGTAGCGAATTTCAGAGACAGGATTCAATTTCAAGTCTTCTGAGTCCCAGGTGATTTTTCTTTTCATTACCTCACACTTTATTCATCAAAGAGGTAGGAGGACGACCTCAGGAAAATCACTTTACTTCTCTAATTCTATGAAGTAATATATTTAAGCTAAGATTTAATTATGCGTAGGACTTTCATAGGTAGAGCAACTCATAGAAACAATTAAGGAATATTAATATTATAGGGCTAAGAATGGCATAAGGAAAGGGGCAGAGGTTTGTCCAAAAATGAACAGTTTGCTTGTATTCGTAGAGTGAAAAAATGAGTTAATATATGTAAAACACTTCATACAGTGTCTGGCACATAGTAAGTACTCAGTGAATACTAACATTTAGTAAGATAATTGGGATCTAGAGCCCTCTTTTGATACTTGAGAAAAATGAGGCCCAGAAAGTCTGTGACATATCTAAGATCATATGATTACTTAATAATAAAGATGAGAATGTATGTTGCCTGACTTCCCAACTCAATGCTTTTTCCAATTCACCGTGAATATATTCTTATTGGAATATGGCTGTAAACACAGGCTGCGATAGTGATCCTGGACTGTGGGGAATCACTCCACACCACTAACTGCAGGAATAGCCAGCCAACCACTGTATCTTTCTTTCAAATGCTACTTTACTTCAACAATTACTTTGTGTGCATTTTGCTTTGTCAACAGGAATAGGATGCTAATTAGTTATGAACACTCTTCCTATAGCTCCTCCATCTTTCCACATTCCAAGATGCTTTAAGGTATAAAATAACTTTTCCTTGACTGTCCTTCATAAAGTTTCATTTAAAGGAAATATATCTAATGTGTAAGCAATACAGAGTATAAACTTCAATGATATACCCTCAAAATATGTCCTGAGTTAGTACTTTTGTGAAATTATATACAACTTTTTGCTTGTAGAAAAGATTATAGAAAGTTGACATTTAAATTATTTTAAATAAATTGCATTAAGATGATTTCCATCCCAAGTGAATGAAATATTACATATTCCTTGTGTGGTTCTACATGGGTATTAGAAATAAAAATTTAAAAAAAAAGGAAATCATCGTAGATATGAAGTAAAATTGTTTGCAAATTTATCAAAAAATAAATTAAAATGCCAATAAATTACAAGATTTTTAAAGAAAATAGACCCAGTCACAAATAGGTAGTAACTGGGAGGATGTAAAAGTGAATGCGATTTTTAAAAAACATTCATGGAACATTCATAATGAGTAGTACTCCTCCACACAATTGGCTTGGGACTGTTTTTCCAAAGAAAGAGCTATCTTGTGGTCCACCATATTCAATAATATTTCAAAATTATATACTAACTAGAAATGTTATATCTGAATTAGTGAAAAGTTAAGGAATATTTTGGAAGAATACGATTTTATAGATTCTAAAATTTTGTGTGTGTGTGTGTAGGCTATAAATATGCTTCATTAAAGAAAGAAAAAAACAAGAGGTGAACATGAAATACTACTTTTCCAGGATGCCTAAAGAAGAGAAGAGAGGGAGGCTCTCGTTGGAAAAATCATCTTTTGAAAGACCGCAGGAACAGTGGAGCTTTGGGATAAAATCAGGAGCCACAAGATCCTAGGAAACCTTCCCACAAGATTTAACCAGCTTGTCTTTCCATTGGTGGGGCTGAGGGGACCTACTATCAGACAGAAAATATAGGCAAATGTGCTTCAAGACAATTTAAGAGATGATAGATTGACCAGGACCTATACAAACCAACGACTAGTTACAAAGGAACCAGATGGAAGAAAACTAGAGAAATTATGCAATGATAAATATACTATCAGAAATAGCAGCTTTGGAATTTCACAGCACTGGGGGCAGGAAACAAAAAAGTGGGAAATGATTTGTGCTAGACTAGGACTCTGAGCAAAACTCAGGGTAAGAAAGAACAGAAAGATTAATAGAAAAGTAGTGAGAGTGTTATTAAATCTGAAATAATGGAACCCAAATCAATTTCGTTTTAAAATATATATATATATATATATATATATATATATATATATATTTATGTGTTTGTATCCTACTGGGATTGAGGGCAAGGTCCATACATTTGTTATCTTTTTGTACTGGTTTTTAAGCATAGTAGCTTATAATTATTAAGCGCATAATACAAGCTTTTGAGGAAGAAAAGATGAAAGGAAGTACACATATCCTTACCACCATTCTAGATTAGGCAGTGTAAAGAGTGTTGAATAATTTCTACTCTCCTCCTAGGACTCCCAAGTAAATATAGATAGATGTTCAAAGTTTTCCTTTCATGGAAGATCGAAGGCTCCTATGGGAAACAAAACTTGGACCTCATTAGCACCTCATTCGAAGACATTTAACTGTAGCAACACTGCCTCTCTGAAATCTAAGGTGACCAAAAATCAGGTACCTTCCAATATTGTGCCAGAATAAGTGTAACCACCAAAATTCAGGAAAATAATTTTATTCTTTACACCTAGGAAGACCAACTTGGCAAACTGATCTCCATCACAGGAATGTTAACTTTGCAGTAATTCACTTATCTGTGTGAGAACACGCCAACCTGCTGCATTGGACGGGAGGAGGAAGCAGGAAGAGGGACTAGGGACTGTTTGTGCATAAAACACAAACATGGTATGTAATCAGATAGAAAAACTCAAAGATAAAGTGGGGCTTTTGATGTTGTTTCAAATACCAACAGTGTCCCACTGGAAAATGGTTGTATACCTGCAGG